GGGAGGAGGGGTGGGGGGAGGGGAGACTGACTAGTCGACTATCTGATAAGCATTTGCTTATCGGATAGTCAACTAGTTCTTAATAGCCTTAGTTTGAATCCCTCTGTACCCTTATTGGACTTTGCCTTAGTACTGAAGGACAAGCCCTGCTTCCAGGCTGGACATGGCTCCATAGGGCTGAGGACAATTCTGGCTTTGATCCAGAAGGGGGCAGTTGCTTTTCACCAGCACTATGTGATCACCATGGAGGTGCCCAACCAGAAGAGTTACCAGCTGGTGGTGAGCTCCATCTCACACCTCACCAGGTGGACTCGGCCTCTGAGTGGGAAGACCTCGTCTTGCAGGCGGGGGGGGGGGGGGGCCCTGAGCCCCCTTACAGAGAGAATAATGAGTCTGCTCTTCAACCTTAGCTACTAATCAGCTGGCTTCTAGCTCATGCAGCAGAGGCTCATGCTTCAGAAGTCCCAGGTTCGATCCCCAGGATCGGCATTACACAGCACCAATTCCCCCCAGACCCATATTGGATGGAGTGGCTCTGCATCCAGCAGAACTGAGTAACACAGACGATCTGCACATCATGAGCCAGTGACATTCCTGCCTCGGGGGACCAACCAGGAATCCACCTTTTTCAGCTTCCTCCTGGAGGCCCGAGGCTTGGCTGAGAGAACATGCAGGGAGGATAGCTGTGGACACAGCCATGTGGGTTGAACCACAGCCCTTCAGTTTTCCAGGCCAGCACATTGTCTGCTCCAGTCTGTGGTGCTGGAGAAAGGGACTTCGGAGAAGATCCTCCAGGAGTTGGTGGATCTCCCCAAACGGTGCCCTTGTGAGAGGAATCCCACACAGGACAGGATATTTGCTTTGCAGGCTCCTAGGCTCTGGGAAAAGCCGCTTCCTCACAGCCCTTACAGGGAGTACGGCTGAGGTGAGGGGCAGCGTATCATCCTCTGGGACGATGGGGGCACGGCCTCTCGCCACCGAAATGCCAAGTGGTACCAGGCCTGGGCCCTTCGGTGTTCTGTCCTGGGATTTAGCTTCAATTTACCAGTAAAAGTCTTCTAAGGCCATGTCTAGACTGCAGGGATCCAGTTTCTGATCAGAACACCTGGTCGAAAACCCTTCCTGGAGGCTCTGGTCACCGTGCAGCCAGGCGAGGGCTGGTTCCCTCCCTGCTTTGGATCCATACAACTCCCAGAAGCAGGCGCTAGGTGCCAGTGGCTGCAAGGCGCAGGGGTAACAGTAAAGCTCTGAGCTACCATTAGCTCTGGCTCTGCTGCTCCTATTGGGTGGGCAATGGTGGCCAATGGGAACTGCAGAGGCAGTGCCCACAGGTCTGGGCAGTGCATAGAGCCCCCTGTCCCTTCTCTTTTGGGGTCCCCCAGCTGGACCCCCAACCCCTCTGCCCCCACC